TAAAATCAAATTTTCTGCAAGCCAAAACTGAAAGAATGAATGATCGAACAGTATATGATACATCAGTTTTGCTCTTTTTGTCTTCCACGCGCCCTTTTGGACACGCTGAGACCTTGAATAATCGAAGTTGATGAGGCACTTAGTCGTAAATGGTTTTTCTAGGCGAGCTGGTGATGATTAATCAAGGAACAGAGCAGCTCTGGCCTCTTCGCGCGCCCACATTACCAGGTTAATCTCTCTATTGATTATTGCAGCAGATTAAACGAATGCTTCACCACCAGATTTTCTCTGTTTTCACACACGTGTCTATGGTTTGTTTTCTGCTGGTGCATAAGCGCACAGGGAATGGATGACAGGTGGCAGTTGTAACTGTAGTGCTGATGAATGATGCGTTTGTTGATGCAATCTTTCCAACAGCCATTAACTCATATTGAAAAAATAAATCATGCTTCACACAACATGAGATTCACATTTATTGACCAAAAAAAGGGAACGTTTTTCAAAAGTTTTTCTTTCTACGGAAAAGAAATATTTTCACAGGTATATTAAAAACTGTAAATGTCCTTCATGTAGTTGTGTGAGAGTCCCTGGGTAATCACACAGATAACACTGTTTCAGAGAGGAAGCGTCTTCTCTCTCACACACACACACGCACACAAATACATTCACATACAAACATAGATCATAGAAAGCTGCTGCAGTGTGAACCTGTGCCCCCGTTTACGCTGTTGTTCAGCGTGTGTGTTTAGACAATGCGTGTCCACGTGCTCTGCTCCTCAGGGTGCTCGCCCTCCGGGATGCTGCTTCAGAGGTGACCTAGTTCTCCTGATTGTCAGCAGAAGGCAGTTTCATCAGCTCGCTTTGTGCCGAGGCACTGAACTGTGCCTGGGACCCTGGGACGGGCCAATTGGACTTGTGTAATGAAGCTGATCACACACGTGCATGCACACACACTCACGCACACACACTGCTGTCATCAGGTCCAGGGCAGCAGAATTTATAACGCCCATTTATTACGTTCTGCTTTATCAAAGAAATGCGATTCCTCCGTGTGCATTTCTGATGCTGCGCTGCCATTATGGTCCATTACAGGGAAGCGACAGAGATGGAGGGGAGGGCGTTGATAGATGTCGGGTGCGGGCCGGCTGTCATTACCCCGTCTATCGAGTGGAGTGTGTGAAACGCTTCCCACAAAATGGCCGCGGCGCACCAACATGGCTCCGTCTGCGAGGAGCAAACGATTCGCATCTGGCGATCGGTACAAAATATTAAATACATTCATCTGCTGCTCGACTGCGTTGGGAAAAAGCTTCGAGTAGCCTCACAACAAACAGTCCTACTGCAGAGAGTTATCCTTAAAGTGTGTATGAACGAGCCATATTTATACAACTTCTCCTACTAACAGATGTAAAGAGATCCATTAAAAAAATGCCAGCATACGAACAATTATGAGCACAAACACTGCAAACTCCCACACCGAGTATGGGCAGCTTAACACATCATACTGTTACACTGAGTCTCGCTATCCTACACAATACTCACTGAATAAGAAGCAACAACGGTATTACATTCATATAAATAATAACAATAATAATAATAATAATAATAATAATAATAATAATAATCCCGGTACACCCCTTGAGTCACTTTGCTCATTTTCGCCTTCATTCGTGTGTTTTTTTTAAAAAAAGACGAGAAGACCAGCTTCACTGTGTGTCCTTTACAACTCCCTTTAGCGGTACAGTCACTGTCCTTGAGGTCGCAACACCAAATCTCGTGGTGTCCAAGAGAGTCTCTTTGAGCGCTGCTCTGTGCAGCTCAGGAAGTCTGAGGATTTTTCTTTAATTTTAATGCCCAGGAGATCGCAGGGTTTCACAGATAAAGGGATATCAGTTCATCAGGGTCTCTTTCCCTCATTGAATGGCACAGGTGAAGAAGGGAGTTGACACCGACAAACC